CTATTGGAGAAGAGAAGATAGCATCATTTTACCCTCACAAAATTAATCAATTGAGGTGCCAGGGTAGGCTGGAGCTAGTGCACTTTAGCTATTGACTTACAGCTGCTTCTCAACCCAACATCCCTCTCTGTTCTGTATTGGGAATGTAGTTTAATGGCCCTGGTAAAGTCACCAAATGAGGGATGGCATCACAAAATACTTTGCTCTGTGGGTAGAATTTAAGTGTCTGTTGTGGTGGAGACCTGTTTTGGAGTGATCAAGCATTTGGGGTTGTTTCTGAAGCTCAAGGAGATCCAAGCGATGCTGACAAATGGAAGAGTCTTGGGTTTATGTCCTTTCTGTAAGCTGTGGTATCTTCACTACTCCTGGCTCAAAATGCGGAGGTAGAGCAGAACAAGGGTGCCTGATTACTCTGAGCCATAGCAAGAGGTTACTTTTCATGCTCATAGCAAGGAGGAATGTAAGCATCTGTTTCATTACATCTAAGGAAAGTAATTTCTGTGCTGCCTTGGTGAGACTATTTGTACCAGTCTCACAGAACTTTTATTTTAGAGTGCCCCTGAACTTGGAGGGGCAGCACAGCTTTGTAGAGTTGGCTTCATAAACAAGAAGCATGGCCATCTAGAGAGGGACCCAGCCTGCAGATCAGTTTGCTGAGTACTTCCAGAGGACTGTTTGGGGCTTCGTTTTCAGTGCTGCTTCACTCTTCCAGCTGCTGCTCATTTTAACTGGAGGTATAGGTGTTTATTGCTCTTAAAATATCAGGTTGAACTTTCAGTTTGCTCATTTTCCTGTCTAAAAGAAGCTTGATCATTTCCTGGAGATTTGTGGGGCTGTTGGATTCAATTGGGAATACCTTGAAAGGTCAAGAAGATGTTGGTAGTTAAAGTATCTGTCTGGCTGTGTCTTATGCAAGGAGGAGTACCCTGCGGTCACTGCCTGCCAACAGTCATCAGTTTACGTCATCCCCCTGACCTACACGAGGCAGTGGATCAAAAAATTTGCCTACCAGGACAGTTCAGCATCTTCCTCCTTTCCTAGGGATTCCTCTACTCTGTGCAAATGAATTTTCTGGTAGCAATAGCCTATTCCTGGTTTACAGCTCTTTCAGAGCAGCAGCAGGCTGTCCATCACATGAGCAGATAAGAATTGCAAGAATGACAGGCTGGATAAAATATCCTTACTATCAGTGTCCCAACTGTGTGCACTGACACGTTCAGCTGTTGCAGGACAGGCTTCTGCCTCTTTCAGTCAGCGTTTAGACATGGAACTGATGTATAGAAAATTAATTCATAAACTTAAGCATTTGATGTAAAACTCCAAACAAATAAAATCTTAAAGACCTCAATGTTTTAAACAGAAAAAGCTGTTTGGGAGGCATCTTCTTACTACTTTGAGGGGTAGACATTTGGCCACATAGAGATGTGTCTCTTGATAGCTGCAAAATCAGAAAACATATGCTTTGAGAACATGTGTTTTAGAAATAGTCAATCTCAGATGGTTGCTTGTCTCATCAACACAATTCTAGGTGTTATCAAGACATCTGTATGTTGTATAATTACTGCCTTGACCTCAGCAAAATTGCTGAAAGCTACAGCAAATAAACTCTAGCCTTACGAATTATGTTTTATTAACCTGTCAGTTTTTTACAAAAAGTAATGGGCAGTTCCAGGTAAAACTTGACATGTTTCATTACGTGTTATGTGTCATATATATCCTTTTTTATGGCACTGACTAAGATGTAATTGGTGCACAGCACATCCCACAGCAGTTAGATCACAGAAATTGCAGACTCTAATCTGTGTCTGTCAGATGTAACGAATATTATGATGGCTTTGAACACACAGGTTGACTCTTCACTAGATTAAATGGCTTTGCTTATGACCTGAAAACTTGAATGAAAAAGGGAGCCAAGTTGAAACTGAGCCCTCAATTAGCTTTTGCTACAATACTGAGACCAGATGGCCGTTCATTTATTAGAGGTGATGTCAAGGAGAGACTTGGCTGCTTTGGATGCAACTTTAAATACTGATACCTGGTTGGAAGACTTCAAGACAGGCCTGTGGGGTTTTAGTACTGGATTTGGGCAGGGCATTGCTTCCACTTGAGCCATGTGGGGAGGTTACACGATCTCACAGTTCAGAGCAATGTTGTCTGCCAACAGTGCCCTCTTGTAATTGTGGCATTTGCTTCCTATTCCATCTCATCCATAAACTTGATGTTCTCTACTGCCACTGCAGTTGAGACTGTACATCTCTTGGTGTCTGTTCATTAAAGCAAAATGCTAATGTTTTATTGTTTTGCAAAATTGGCTTTCCTGGCTCTGTTACCCTCCCTGCCCCACGAGCAGAACACAACAGAGGTGGTATATCATCCAGTCTCACTTGGGAGAAGAGAGCCTTTTAAGCCTTGATTGCAAAGCTGTCGGTTTCATTTAGGAATTTAGCAAGTTGTTTCAGATGAATATCATAGCTCTGGCAAATGAGAAGGGATTTTATTTCTGAAAACCAACAACAGGGTGGGTGCTGTTGTCATTGAATTTTACATAATGCTTTCATACAAACACTGATGCATACTGTATTTGTATTGGGAGTGGGGGGAAGAGGGGGAAGTGTGCTGGGTTGTAATGGTTCCAGGCAGCTGTCATACCCACACAGTGCTGTATTTAAAAAGATTCCTTGGTGAGCTCTGAGCAGTTGTGTATTGCCATCATTCTTGAAGCAGTCCTCCTAGGTGTGGTCAGAAATAGTGCAAGCACTGCTTTTTGTTGCTTGCTGGGCTATTAAAAAGTAGGTGAACTAGAACAAACCTGCCAGTGTTCTGCCTTTTCCTTGACTGTCTAAAACATCCTTGAGTAATCCACATAGAAGCTTTTTCTGCTTTTTCAAAGCTCCTGGGGGAAAAACTGACCAAGAGGTGATACAGGGGAGTTGGTGGGGAGATGCACTGTAAGACTGTTTACCTCCTGTATTGACTACAGTGGGTAACAAGATTCCTGTTTTCTTGCCATTTTTGTTCATTTCACCTCCAAAGTGAGCTTTCTGTAAAAAGACAGCAGAGGACCATTGGCCACAGATCTGAAGAAACAGGCATCTCTTGGGAGCTTGTCAGGGGATTAAGCATTCATGTAGCTCCTGCATGTTCAGACCCTGTCTTCAATTTGCTCTGCTTCGTGCCTCAGCATGCTGTTCGTGATGCTCCAGCACAGCACAACCCCCTCAGCAATAAAAAGTGGGAGAACATTTAAGTCTTAAATAAGATGCACTGTAGGCATCAGTGGGGGTTGATGCCATTGTCCTGCCCCTTCATCTGGACTAGGGGCAAGTGTTTCACCTGTAGCTTCTAATAGTAAGGTTGGCTGTGTGGGGAGCACCTGTCCCTCTTAAAGGTTAAATGAAGTGTTTGTGGAGGGCAAGGAAGGCTTTATTTTGAAAAGCTGCTAGTGTTTTCTGTTAGTTGCTCTGTGAAGCACTTGAGAGAGTACTTGGGGGAAGAGCTCATTCTGTACCACAAAGTTTAATCAGTGTTCACATGGTAGTCCTGTAGAACAGTAGAGTTCCTTGTACCAAGGAAATATATCATCATAGGAAGCCAGCATACTGATTTCTTTCCTGTCTCTGCCAGTTTCTTGAGAATAAAAGTAGTTCTCTCTTAGTGTGCTCAGGCATACAATTAGGTATTTTCTGTGCATAGCAATTCTGCTGTGGAGCATGGAGTTCTTGTATCCCAGCTAAGGGACGAGGGACAAAAGGATACAAGCCTTCCTGCTTTTGATTATATGCATCTGCACTCCAGTAGCCTTAAACACTGTTATTCTAATATGTGGTTCATCACCTTGCTCGGATGTTCTCAGCCATGTGGGATGCAGACTTTCAGCATCTCCAGTGTGTATGGAGGTGGGCAGAATATTTACAGTGAGTACTTGAGACTGTTCTCAAGCATACCAGCCATCAGCAGCAACCAACCCTTTCTAATCACTAATATGTTGGCAAGTGAGGCTTTTCAGAATCCTCTTTGTTAAATAAATAGCGCTTATGCCTTTCAGATGAGGTTGATTTTTTTTTTGTCTGTTTGTTTATTAATTTCTCTTTTTCTGTTTCTCTAGTGAAGCTGTGGTCTACCAACTTGGACAACTCAGTAGCAAGCATCGAGGCCAAGGCTAACGTGTGTTGTGTCAAATTCAGCCCCTCTTCTAGGTATCACCTAGCTTTTGGCTGTGCAGGTAGGTAAAGGGGTTCTGGGGCAATGAGGTGCTGTTTCTTATCCCCCCCAAAGATGTGAGGTTGGTTGCTGTGCCCAGGACTTGAAGTGTCTTTGCAGTTAAAATGCCTCTGAGTAAGACTTTAATCATGCAGTTACCCAGAAGACATGATACCCAAGTGTCAACTTCATCCTGCAGCCTGACTCTTTAATTTGGGTGCCACTATCAGAGATAAAAGCTCCTGAAAGCAAGTTGCCTAGTGTGTTTATTGAGATCACTAAGGCAACCAGGCAGAGCTCAGCTTTGAGAGTCTCACAGCACAGTTAATGTGTTAACATGGTGATAGTTGTTCTTTCTGATTTATAGTATTGCTCTATAAATACTACAAAGCCATACTGGGAATTCTAACTGGTTTTACCTGAGGCATGCTGTAAAACTGGCTGTGCATGTTTCCCATAGCTGCAACTACAATACCCATGGGTGGGCTCGTGTTTTCCTAGGTTGGGCAAAGCATCAGTGTTAATGGGGTTTTTTTTGAAGTAGTCAGTGGGGAAGGCATGATGAGCCTTTTATTCACTTAGATTAAATAGTTCTTGGTGATAATACAACAATGTGAGAGCAAAGTGTGTATCGTTTTGGGAGGAAACTGTATCATGCTATGCATGCAGCAACTGAAACTGAGGTACCTATAAATGTTTAACCAACTCTCCATTTTCTTTCTCCTCGAGGAGTTTTAATGCACTGGTAACTAGATGTTCTGATGACATTTGCTATCTCTGGACTTCAGGAGATATGTTGATCATTCTTGCAACCAGTGGTTTGCCATTTCATTTAGGTGTGTTCCCATTTCCAGGCTGATTCTACTTAGATTGTGAGTCTTAGGAGGAAAAAACACATTTGCATTTTGATACACTACAAAAAATTGATTCAAGTTGGAGTGTAAAATATTGACTTGCTTGACAGACATCTCGCTAAAGTTTGGTGAATTACATGCAAGAATAGAACTGAATTACAATACCTACTAGCAGCATTTGAATGAAGGGGGCTATGTGTGA